ATCAGTAAGATGAATGTCCACAAAATGGAGGAATCCCAGTAGTCATTCCGCTATAATAGCGCTAAAACTACATATATCAGCTGTTTTTGTACGTTGTCGCCCTATTAAAACTTCAAGATTATGACAATAAATCTTTTAATTAAAGAGGTATTATTTAAGTTATATAAAATTCAATATACTATATATTCCAAAATTAATTAAATCCGCAATATAGGATTTTAATGAACTAAGCCATGATTCTTCGTGCTGAAAAATATTGCACAATGAAAGTCACAATTAATGCATCCTTCTTTAACTGAATTTTTTGAGATATCAATTAGTAATCATAATCTTCCTCCCTCCCACAAAATTAATCCATCATAATCTGTTTTTACTGTAAGCCTGCTGCAACCTAATCTACAATTCAAATAATTTTTAACCTAAAGTAAACAAGAATTTGATATAAATAATTAATTTATGACTTTTTTAAAAAACCTGTGGGATCCGGCTAAAGTCTTGAGCACAACTTTAATAGATTGTTCTTATAAATTTATTGAAGGCTGCGCAGCCTATTTTATACATTTTATATGCTGCGCATGAAATTTGAATAATTCACATTTGTTAATTCATGTAAGTGAGACTTTGATTAATAATACTATACTTCAATAAATAAGTTCTACGACATTTGTGATGATGAAACAGGTTACATTTCGATTGTAATGTATTTAATAGCAACTTATAAAAAATTCTTTTAATTCGTAAGGAATTTTCTAAAAGTTACATATACGGTTGAATTTTTTCATAATCTCCCTTTTCTCTAAGTATAGCACTTATTTTTAAAACCGATTACTGTAATTAAATAAAATATAGCACAATTATTTATAATCTATTTTTTTAAAAAAAAAAACTCATTATGATCCGTCAAAAATAAAGAGATGTAACTATATTCTCCTAAAGATATTTGATCCAATTTAATGAAATTTTGTTCCATACAATAGTATAATTTTACAATTGTTGAATGTTGAAGATAACCAGCCTTTTTGAACGTAGATTTAGATAGTGACTTGTATAATTTATCAATTATAAAAATTTAAATTATTACCTAACGTAAACTGCTAACTCCTGTGTCCGGGTATTTACAAAGATAGAGCCAGTCTTCAATGTTTTACACCATTTAGATATTTTCGAAGTATAAAATGCTATTTTTTGAGATATAATATGGATAGTATCCGGATATACAGTAAGTTGAATTTCGGATGTGAAAAATATTAAATCATATTTCAGTAAATTATGCACGCATATATTAGACTTATAATGTATGTAAGTGTATATTAAATTCAATAATAAAGTTAAAATATTAATAGACTAATACAATCATTTGAATTATAAATATTGCTTTATTTTTTACTCTAAGTTATCGACTTTAATTTTCTCGGTTATTTGATCTGACAATTCAGGCGTAGAAGTCAACTATTTTACGTTCTAACAAAAAAAATTCTGGGTAAATATATTTTCACTAATGCCCTACTCTAACCCTACCTTAGATACATATTTTAGGCTATGCTTACGTATTCTATTTAAAGTACAAATGTATGGATATGAAAATGATAAACAACTTTTATAAATATAGATCAATATACTTCATATTATATTGTAAAAATGCTATTTTTTCTGCCATATCTTCGTTATTATAAGTTCTTAAAAGTTTATCCAGATTGTTTATTGGAACTTCTTTATCCACCGTTAGTGTAGGCAAATATTCTCTCGCAAGAGCAGCTAATCCAGGAAGCATTTTTTTTGAACCTTGCCACCACTCATACGGATTAATATCACCATCTAAAGATAGTTGTGGACGATTAGTATAACATTCCAGTTCTTTATTTGCTGCTTGTATTGATTTATCCATACTGTCTGAAAAAATATTTTCTAAATAATACGATTGGCATTTTTTTAGCGCGTATTCTATAGTCGCCTAGTACGTTATATAAGCATGTTAAATATTTTAAATATTCTTTATAAACATTGATATTATGAATAAACTTACAGTTGAAACCTCATCAGGCTTAGGACGTGGATCTAAAAATAAAGCTAGCGGCTTAGCGATTAAACTCTTGCATAGCTGCATAGCATCTGTACCATTATCTAATGAAGAAATTGATGTCAGAAACGATTTAAGGATTTTGTGTTCTAAATTGTCACTAAACTGAAGCTCTCTTAGCATATTATCTGCATTAATACCAATTTTGGCTATTAAACCTATAAACTTTTCCCTAGATATTTCACAATCACTGCATGTTATATGCTCTAAAGGTTCAAATAGTTGCAATAAATTAGAAAATATGCCAAATGGTAAAGAATCTAGTATAAGTTCCTTAAACTCTTCTCCTTTTTTTCTGATATAAGCGTTTACATAACTATTGTAATTATTAACTAGTTGTATAAAAGGTTTCTCCATTAATTTAAGAAATGCTATTTTGTGATAAATGCAACCGCCACTCAAAGTATAATTACGACAACTGATTTTTTCTGCATTTTGGATATCAATAATTGTTGAATCACTAAATATTGTTTGCATATTTTGTATTTCTATTTGTACTTCTATATTTTTTAAAAATTCCACAACACTGCAAAGATTATTGGTAGCATTCTCAACAGCTACGATAATTTCGGACGTTTCTTGGGAAATAACGCTTTTTATAGCCCATTCTTGTAAACTGTCTTGTATTAAACATTTCAAATGTCCATTATTGTTAGCTCCATTATCATGCAATGTTATAAGAGTTTGTGAAAAGTTTTGATATTTTTCTTCTTCCAAATCCCTTAAATAAATAAAAAAATCTTCCTTTCCATTATAATTATAATCATTATAAAAATTTAAATTAGTTAATTCCCACTTTAATAATGCTTCAATAATATCTTCATATAATGAATCAGGTTTTACAAGCAGTAGAATTTTATGAAGCTCGAAATCTTTAGTTAGCCAATTACAAGTGATTATTTTATATTGCTCATTAAACATAGTATCTGTTGTTGTATGAATCGAGAGCACGGTTGATTTCTCTTGCTGAA